CCCCGGGAGCCAGAGTCATCGCCTGAGCCCAGCGATCGCTCCCCCCAGAGCCGCCTCCCAGCTGCTCCTGGGTCCTAGCGATCAACCCATCGCGCTGCAGCATCTCTGTGTCCCGCTCCTGTTCCACTCACAGGCTCCCATCACGACACCTAGCCCAGGGGTTCTCACAAACAAATTTTTGCGGCTGCTCAGAGCTCAGCACCATGGGGCCCTCGTCCTCCATAGACTGTAATGCGAAGAGACACACAAGCATTGTATAGATGGGGAAACTGAGGCAGGGAGAGGGCTGGTTCAATAGGCCCCTATTCGGTGGCTGCAAGGGCCAGTGCAGACCTTAGCAGCAGCTAGGCAAGTCCTGAGCTCCAGCCAGAGCTGCATCCCTCTTCTAATGGTCCTAAGAGGCTTTGCCAGGGTGCAGCGTATAAGAGGTGCAGCTTCACCCTGGCCACACCCCTCTATCCCTTTCCGTCCCTTCCTCCTCCAGCCTGTCCATGCCCGAACCCCACTCCCTCCCGCCCCTCCCAGGAGCACTCCCTGTGCCTGCAGCTGCTGGGGAGGAGGCACAAACAGCCGTGCTAGCCGGCACAGCAGCCAGAGCACAATGATGGGCTGGGTCCAAACGTCAAGAATCTCTTTTGATTTAGGGTCCAAATTTGGGTCCTGACCTAAGTGCTGAGGGGCTGGTCCTCCAAGGGGCTGGGCACCCGCAGCGCCCACTGATTCTGGCTGCAGCTGCGAATGCAGGTGGACCACGTGCCCTGGGTAGTAAGAGGAGGCCCTGAGATATAAACCCTTATCAGAGGCCCAATACAAGGCCTGAGGCCTGAACTAAAGTAATGGTCAAGACGTTGCTAACATAAAGCAAAGTTAAGCTTCAGAGTAACAGCCGTGTTAAGCTGTGAGCCAGAGGCAGGCCCTGCTCACAGAAGCTGGCAAGGAAAGGGCTGATGCTGCAAAAAGATACATACCTAAAAAGTACTGGACACTAGATAGCAGAACACTCCAATACTTGTACATTCCACACATAACAAGGAACAGGCCGACCCATCCCAATGACAGGGCCAAAAGGGGAATATGATGGATAGAGTTGTTTTGATCGAACCAACATGTACAAGGTGAGAGGCGGCACCTTACTACGTAAAGGGGTTGTACCTTGCTGCGTAGAGGGGTCGCACCTCAATACGTCAGGAGTGATGTGTAACTTGTTTGTATCTGTGTATAAGAATGCATCCCTGGGGCGGTGTCTGGGTCCGGCCGAGGGGGTAGTGGAAAGTCCCGCCACTAACTGAGCTGGGTCCATTGCCAAGGGGCACCTATTAGTAGTATGCCCGGTAGACTAAGTAATCTACGGGGAACTGCAATTGTGTCCGAGGTCGCAATAAATCTCATCGACGTGACTTTGCATCTTACTAGACTCTGTGGTTATTGGGGGTTCTCGTCGGGTTTGCTGTGTCAGCTATCTGCAGAGCTGGGGCAGCACACAGAGGGAACACGCACGCAGCCGAGTGATATCAGCATTGGAGAAAGCAGAGCACCACACCGGTAGCATCTGACAACACCCTGAACTCCTGTATGTCGAGGAGATAAACCGAGACACACAAAATTAGGCAACTGCTGTAAATTTAGGCCTTACCGACTTGCCCATTAACAGCAGGACATGGCTAAGTCTCACTGTAAGTCGCTGTTTATACTTGGTCACTGCTCAGTCCCATGTCTGTAAGCAGCAGAGGTGCTGACTCCATGGGTGCGCCGGAGCTCAAACACCCATGGAAAAAGTATAGTGGGAGCTCAGCACCCACCAGCTACAGCTGTTCTGTGGGGCTGCCAATGAGCTGTTTGGTGGCTAGGGGAGGTGCCTGGGGGAGGGCGGAGAGTAGCGAGCTGCTGATTGGCTATGGTTTTGGGGAGGGGTTGGCGCAGGGGCGGGAAGAGGCAGAGAAAGGGCAAGGCCTTAGGGGAGGAGACAGAGTGGGGTCGGGAAGAGGCGGAGCAAGGGCAGGACCTCAGGGGAGGGGCACAGTGGGGGCGGGGCCTCAGGGGCAGAGCAGGGGTGGAGCACCCCCGGGGAAAAATAAAAGTCAGTGCCTCTGGTAAGCAGAGACCTAGCAGTGAAAACCCCAATTATATCCCCCGTGTCTACAGGCAGCCAATCCCCCAGGGATGTAACAAGTTCATAATCTTACCCGCTGGATGGGTAAATCCACCATTTTGTTCACAGGGTGAGAACCTCGAGGCTAACTTGAACAAAGTGAAAGTAGAGAAAATGTGGCTCCTGTCCACACTGTGCTGAGGTGCCCTGGGGAGACGTGGCTTTCACTTGGTGTCCAAGCCCCTGCCCAGTCTCAAGAAGTGTGAGGGGGTGTGAGTGTTGTAGGAACAGCAGTGATCTGTATGCTCTGTATGACTATGCTATGTATAACCTGTATGCTCAAAAGGTTTGTTACACTCCCCTCCCCCCTTTTCTGGGAATGCTTGTGGGATAAATGAGCTGGTTGAACAGCTAGAAGATCAGGAGAGCTTCCAGATAGACAAGGTGTCTGGGACTCTAATTAGGCAGCGCTCACACACCCAATGCACGGACACTGCATGGACATTGCCCAAGGTGGAGTGTTACCAACCAGAGGTGGCCAAGTCGCAAGCCATGACACTCCGATTAGGCAGCGATCACACACGCTGTCATGGAGTGTGGGGGGACAGAAGGCCCTGCACCCCCGGCTCCCTGCAATTCACCATAACTCTCAGCCAGCCAGTAAAGCAGAAGGTTTATTTAGATGACAGGAACATAGTCCAAGCCAGGTCTTGCAGGCACAGACAACAGTAACCCCCCCCCCACGTTAGGTCCATCTTGGGGTCCCAGGGGCACCACAGCCCCATTGGGGGGTCAGAGTACCGTCTGGGCTCCCCTCCATTCCACCAGCCAGCTCCTGAAACTCCAACTCCCTCCAGCATCTCTCACCCAGCCTCCCCTGGCTCCTCCCCCAGCCTTTGTCCAGTTTCCTGGGCAGAGGTGTCACCTGGCTCCAACCCCCCTCCTGGGTTCTCACATTACATGCTCAGGTATCTTCCCTCAAGGCCAGTCTTCATCCGCCAATGCAGACCGTCCCAGCCAAACTCCCCACTCAGCATTCAAAGACCACATTAAGAACAGTCCCAGTTCATCACACACCCAATGCATGGACACTGCATGGACACTGTCCGAGGTGGAGTGTGACCAACCAGACACGGCCAAGTCATCCCTAGTCGCAGACCATGAGGAGCAGGTCCTTAAAAGGAGAAGGGACCATGTGCTCAGCAGTGCTTGTACCTCCCGTAAAGGCCCTTCACCCAGACCGCCAGGCCAGTGGTTTGCCGCGTTGCATTGCATCGTGCCTCGGAAAGTTACCTTCATCGCACCATCCATCGCTGTGCTGTGGGACACTAACCTTGAAGAATTCTGACATCTCCAGTGTCATGCCTATCCTGGGAGCGTGAGTATGTGAGTGTGAGTGTGACCCCCCTGCCCTTCTTTTGAGCTTACCTATCAGTATAATAAACGTGCTGCTTTCTGCCAAACTCTGGTGGGTCATTAGTCCTCCTAAGCTTACTAACTGGCCCAATTTCAGGTAACATTAATGGTAGAGAATGCAGGTAGCTTAGTGGAGGATTTGACCCAAGAGTAGGGGTCCCCTGGTGCCCCCCGGTGCTCTCTTAAGCGGGTCTGGCTTGAGCCTGCATGAAAAAGTGGTAGGCTAGCAACCCACTGCAGGGAGAAAAGGACGCCACTCTTGAGTGCCGGTGTAGGGCAAGGGAACGAATTAGTTGTAAAGCCCCTGGTGCCCCCTGGTGGTCTCTTGGGTGGGTCTGGCTCGAGCCTGAGTAAAAAAGGTGGTAGGCTAGCAACCCACTGCAGGGAGAAAAGGACGCCACTGCTAAGTATGCCACCATGGAGCAAGGGGAAGAAAGAGGCGAAGCAGCCCGAGTGAGAATACACCGCCCGGGGTGTTGTTAGAATGGCTCCAAAAGAAAGGGGCAGACCCCTGGATGCCGGGGCGGTTCCACCTGGGAG